CAAGTGAAAAAATTTTTTAAAAAATTTAATTCGCCAAAATCATTTTGAACCCAACGAAAAAAAATTATTTCACTGGTTTGTTTGCACTAAATTACTGTAAAAGTATTTTTAAAAAATATTTGTGGGGTTTGGCTAAAAAAAAATTGCTTTTTTGATATAAGGGGAGGTAAGGTTTTCAAGATTTTTTTTGGGGGAAAATTAAATTTTTTTACATTAAAAATTTAAGAAAAAAAAAAATTTTTTTAACGTAAAAGAAAACATTTCAAAAGGATTATTTTTTTAAAAGAGGGCTGCAATTGACCAGTTTTACTTTTTGGGGACGCAATTTTTTTTTTTTATAAATTTTTTTTTTTTTTTTATTTTTTTTTTATAAATTTTTTTATATATTTTTTTTTTCTTTTTTAATTATATTATTTTAATTTTTTTTTTTAATTAAATTTATTTTTATTTTTTTTATTGTATATTGTGTTTTTTTTTTTTTTTTTTTATTTTTTTTTAATTTTATGTTTGTTAAAAAAGTTTTTTTTTTTTTTTTTTATTATTTTTTTATTTTATGTTTTTTTTATTTTTTGGGGTTTGTTTTAAAGTATTTTTTTATTTTAAATTATTTGTTTTTTGTATTTTATTTTATAATTTGTTTAATATTATATAATTATTATATAAAAATAAATATATTATAATTAAATTATAAAAAATAAATTAATACAAATTTTTATTGTAATATATATAAAATATAATTTAAAATAAAATATTATAATTCTTTCCTTGGGGGAAGTGGGGGAAAGAAATTTTTCCTTGTAGTTTTGGGGTGTAAGAGGCGATAAAAGCGGGGAGAAGGGCTAGTAACCCTTCTTTTTATATATTCTAATTTAAAGGGAAATTCAGTTTTTTCTTTTGGGCCCCACCCGTGGGATCGGTGTACGTTGAAAAAGAAAGAATATTTTGTTAATTTATTTTTTTTTATTTTTTTTTATTTTTTTTTTTTTTTTTTTTTGTTTTTTTTTTTGTTTTTCTGTTTTTTTATTTTTTTTTTTTTTTTTTTAATTTTTTTATAATATATAAATTTTCTTTTATATTTTTAATAAAATTTTTATATTTTTACTAAATTTTTTCATTTTTTTTTTTTTCCTATTTATTAAAATTTTTACCATTTTTTTTTAAACTATTTTTTTCCCAACATTTATATTTTTCATTTTTATTTATATATAAATATATTTAAATATTATATAAATATTTAACTTAATTAACATATTTTATAATATATAATAATAATTAAAAATTTTTTTTTTTTTTAAAAAAATATACTTTTTTATATATTATTTATAAAAATTTTTATATATTTTAATATAAAAATATAATTTTTAAAATATATATACATATATATTAACAAAATTTTATATATATTATATATACAAAATATTATATATAAAATATATTTAAATATATATATATATTTATATATATATAAATATATATATAATTTTATTATATATATATATATTTTTTATTATATATTAAATTTTTATAATATATATATAAATTTATATTTAAATATATTAAAAAATATAAATTATATATATTAAATTTTATATAAAAAATAAATATATAATATAATAAATTTTTTATATACAATATAATAATATATAATATATATATATTATATATACTTATATATATATAAAAATATAATTTTATATAAACATTATATATAATATATATAATATATAAAAATTTTATATATAATATATTATATATATATATTTAAATATATATATTTTAAAAATATTTATAATATTTTATAAATTATATATATAATTTATTAATATATTCAATATATTTATAAAAATATATAAAAAATTATTATATATATATATATAATATATATATATATAAAATTTATATATATATATAAAAATTTTAAATTATATATATAAATATTAAAATTTTTTTTTTTTAAAATAATATTATACCAAAATTTTTTAAAATAAACATATATATTTTTATAATATTTATATATAATAAATTAAATTTTTATACAATATATATATTATATAAAAAATATATCATATATATATATTTACATATATATATTATATATTTTATTATATATATTTATATATATTATTATTTATTATATATTTATATATATATTATATAAATATTATATTTACATAATTTTTTAAAAATTTATATAAATAAATTTATATAAAAAATATATATTTTTAAATATATAATATTAAAAATTTTATTATATTATACATTTTATATTACATTTATAAATATTTTATTTATTATATAATAAATTTTAAAATATAATATATTTAAATATATTAAAAATAAATTTTTTATATTTTTTATTTAATTTAATATAATATTTATTTAATATATTTTTAATATTAATATTTTATATATATATATATTATATATATATCCATATAAAAATATTTTAAAAATAATATAAAATATATATAAAAAAAATTTATTATATATTTTATTAAATATTTAAAATATTTTATAGAAAAAAATATATATTTATATATTTTATATATAAAACTTTTTATATATATATTTTATAAAATAAAAATTTATAATATTATAATAAATATTTATAATATTTATAAATATATATATAAATATATATATTATACAGTATTTTATATTTCAAATTTATTTAATAAAAATTAAATTTTTTAAAAATTTTTTAATTATATTTTATTATATAAATTTTATATATTTTTTATTTTATTTAAAATTTTAATATTTAATTATATATATTAATTATATATATATTTAAAATTATATTTTAAAATATATATAATATTTTTATATTTTTTTTATTTTTTAAAAAATTTTTTATATTTATTAAAATTTATATTTTATTTAAAAGTTATTTTTTTCTGTTAAATTAATTATTTATAAAATATATTAAAATTATTAATTATTTTTTTTAAATTATATATAAGTATTTATATTTTAAAAAATTTTATAATTATTAAATTATAAATTTATAGAAATAAAAATTATTTTATTTTATAACATTTATTTTTTAATTAAATTATTAATATTATAAATTTTATTTATATTATTTTTTACTTAATTTTTATTTATTTAATATAAAAATTATAATTTTTAAAAACATGTTTATATTAAATTTTAAATAATATAATATTAAAATTAAAATTAAATATTTATACATGGGGAAATTTATTTTATTTTAATTTAATTTAAAAATTATATTAAAAAGATAAAAAAAAAAAAATAATTAATAAATTATAAATAAAAATTTTTATTTTGTATATTATTTTTAATGAATAATTAAAAATTTTAAAATTAAATATTTTAAATTTTATTATTAAATTTATTTTTTTTAATATAAAATTTATTTTTGTATATTTTTTAAATTTTAAAAAAAAAAATTAAATTTAAAAAAAAAAAAAAAAAAAAAAAATTAAATTAAATTTATTAAATTTTATTATATTAAAATAATTAAAATTAATAATAATATTATTTTAAATATAATTTTTTTTTTGTAATTAAAAATTTAAAAGTATTATTTAAAATTTTTTTTATATTATTTTTTTAAATAAAATTTTTTAATAAAAAAATATATTATATTTAAAAATTTTTTTTTTTAAAAAAAAAATTAAATATTTTTTCTTTTAAAATTTTAAAATATTTAATTATAACCTTTTTTAAAAAAAAATTGGTTTTAAAAAATTAATTTTCACCCTTCAAGTGTATTTTGTTTTACCCAATTTATTCACTGCATATACAGTACTTTACTCCACTTGGTTAAAAGATTTTATGAACACTACTTAAGGATATACGAGAGCCTGTTTTTTAATACCGTCTGACAATACAAAATGCAATTCTTATTTGATAGTGACAGCAAACCGAGTTTATTATTTATTAATCTAGCCAAGTTGAGTGTGACATATGGTAATAATCTATATGGGTATATATAGTTACTGTTTGACTTGAATAATGCATAGGTTAAAATTGATGAAGTATGTAAATTATCATCATTAAGCCAAAAACAGATGTTGTATATCCTACCAAAATCTAAAGCATATATAGTATACACTACTACGTTTATGGGGAACACTAAACCCTTAGGAGTTATACAGCACCTGCGGGCTACTCAGGTTCCATCTGTGGTTATTTGATTTGAGGATTTACAAATCTGCAGTGTATGTAGAAAGAATAAAAAAAAAAAAGCACAATACCATGACTGGAACAATACACAAATAACCTACACATAGGGGACAAAGTTATGACATTTCGGTGTGACTTGGGCCATTAACTAGTCACACTAGTCAGAAGTGAATGTGTAAAATTTTACAAGTTCCAGACATCAGGGATTTGTAAGAATTTATCCAGCATCGTCTTAAGAACTGTTATGTATCTGTTGATAATACTGTGGCACATAAACTGCATTCCTGCTGATCATTTACTGCTGTAATGAACATTTATTTACAGTTTCTTAATTGACTGTGGTATACAACAGATAAAGTTATAAATTCAATTACAATACGTATATTTTGGCTTGACATAACCTTCAATTTTTTTTTTAGAGTAAAGTCAAACAATGTGACTTATTTCCAGTGGATATTTGCCTACCTATTATAGAAGGCGCTTTACTAAATAAGTTTATTTAAGCAGAGATACACAAATATAATTATCATACATAGCATAAATTACCTAGGATAACCCCCCAACAAAAAAAATCAGTTACTTATTTCTATTAAGGTTCTTTAAAACTGCACTGCTTAATTTCTGGTGATAGCCATTAAAAACATGCTGTGAAACAAAATTATTCTCGAAATTATTTCCATAAGGGATTATTAATTTTATTATATTTATGGAAACTCGCTAAACTCGTATTGGTCATACAACGACTTGGGAATGGGAGGTAATCAGATCTGATCCTAGGAAAGGGGCTGATAGCTCCTGTTCCTTGGATCAAGGAATTCTCTTGAAGGACATACTAAGGTACCGACCTGTCGAAATCAGCTGAGCGACACCTCACTGCAGACGACAATGCATTTACATGTTAACTTGAGGCCCCAGAGGTACTCCCCAGTCACCCCGATAATCCTGCTATATCTTACTACTTCCAGTACACGTAGTAAAGTGAAATAATGTCTGGCATATGTAAACGGCTCGAGGGAAAAACGAAAATAATTTCCAGCTGAGACAGTAGCGTGCTCACTGTGCCAGAGGTTACTAACAACTACATCAGTAACACTTGTCTCTGGCCCTGGAGGCACTACAGTGATGCCAACACAAAGCCACACAACTGCGCTAACCAGGCAAGAACCTCTCGCCAAAGTTATTAGTTATATATACCAAAAGTTGTGCATCTTCTACACTTGTGTATCTATACATACAGAACTTTGTATTTACATGTGTATATATACACCGAGATTTCTCCTTGAAGATATCTTGATTTTTCTCCAACATATTTTCGAAATATATGTACTTACATATTAATGCACCCACAGAACAAAGATATAGTAGATATGTACTCACCTAATTGTGATTGCAGGAGTCGATTCATAGCTCCTGCCCCGCCTCTTCACTGGTCGCTACTAGGTCACTCACTCCCTGCTCCGTGAGCTTTTATCATACATCTTAAAGCTATGTATGGATCCTGCCTCCACCACCTCACTTTCCAGACTATTCCACTTCCTGATAACTCTGTGACTGAAGAAATACTTCTTAACATCTCTGTGAGTCACGTGAGACTTCAACTTCCCACTGTGACCCCTTGTCGCTGTGTCCCATCTCTGGAACATCTTATCTCTGTCCACTTTGTCGATTCCTCTCAGCATTTTATATGTTGTTATCCTGTCCCCATCCCTATCCCTCCTGTCCTCCAGTGTCGTCAGGTCAATTTCCCTTAACCTCTCCTTGTAGGACATGCCCCTTAGCTCAGGGACTAGCCTCGTTACAAACCTTTGCACCTCTAATTTCCTGACGTGCTTGCCCAGGTGTGGTTTCCAAACTGGTGCTACATACTCCAATATAGGCCTGACGTGCACGGTGTAGTCTTGAACGACACCTTAGGTTTGATAATCTCCCATATACTGTACTGCAGCAGTTATTTGGTTGATGTGCGCCTAAGGAGATATGCTCGATATTATACTCACCCCAAGATCTTTTTTCTTGAGTGAGGTTTGTAGTCTTTGGCGCCTCTACGCTGTATTCTGTGTTTGTGGTCTTCTTTGCCCTTCCCCGATTTTCATGACTTTGCACTTGGCGGAGTTGAACTCCGGGAGCCAGTTGCTAGACCAGGCCTGTAGCCTGTCCAGATCCCTTTGTAGTCCTGCCTGGTCTTCCTCCAGTTGAATTCCCCTCATTAACTTCAGATCGTTTGTAACCAGAGACATTTCTGAGTCTATTCCTTCCGTCATATCATTCACATATACCAAAAACAGCACCGATTCTAGAACTAACCACTGTGGAACCCCTCTCGTCACAGGCACCCACTCCGACACCTCGTCATGTACCATGACTCGCTGTTGCCTTCCTGTCAGATATTTTCTGATCCATTGCAGTGCCTTCCCTGTTATTATACCTGCATGGTCCTCCAGCTTTTGCACTAATCTCTTGTGTGGAACTGTCAAAAGCCTTTTTACAGTCCAAGAAAATGCAATCTACCCACCCCTCTCTCTCTTGTCTTACTGCTGTCACCTTGTCATAAAACTCCAGAAAGTTTTTGATACAGGATTTCCCGTCCCTGAATCAGTGCTGGTTGTCGCTGATAAGCTCATTCCATTCTAGGTGCTCCACCACTCCATCCTGATAATCTTCTCCATGACTTTGCGTACTATGCATGTCAGTGATACTGGTCTGTAGTTTAATGCTGCATGTCTTGTCTCCTTTTTTAAAAATTAGGACTACATTTGCTGTCTTCCATACCTCAAGTAGTCGCCCTGTTTCGATAGACGTGTTGGAGATTGTTGTTAGTGGTACACAGTGCCTCTGCTCCCTCTCAGGACCCACGGAGAGATGTTATCTGGCCCCATCGCCTTTGAGGTATCTAGTTCGCTTAGCAGCCTCTTCATCTCCTCTTCGGTTGCTTGTATTGTGTCCAGCACTTGATGGAGTACCCCACCACTCCATGTTTCTGGAGTCAGTTTCTGTCTTCACTGTGAATACTTCTTTAAATCTCATGTTGAGCTCCTCACATACTTCCCGATCATTTCTTGTGAGCTTCCCTCTTTCCTTCTTCAGCCTGATTACCTGGTCCTTTACCGTTGTTTTCCTCCTGGTGTGGCTGTACAACAGTTTTGGGCCGGACTTGGCTTTCACTGCTATACCATTTTCGTATTGTCTCTGGGCATCCCTCCTTACCTATGCATATTCATTTCTGGCTCTTCGACTACACTTCTGGGTCCTATGCCTCCTATAATTCTTCCATTCTCTATGCATTTGGTTTTGGCCTCTTTACACCTCTGGGTGAACCAAGAGCTCGTCCTGGCCTTCTAGTTATGTCTGTTGCCCTTGGGTGCAAACCTCTCCTCTGCTGGCTTGGAAGTTTGTGTGTATGGCGTGCGTGCGTGTGTGTACGTACTCACGTATGTGTGCGTGCGCGTCGTGCTGTATAAGCCAAACCGACGAGCTAGGCCTAAGGACCTAGAGGTTACCTGGAGAGAGTTCCGGGGGTCAACGCCCCCGCGGCCCGGTCTGTGACCAGGCCTCCTGGTGGATCAGAGCCTGATCAACCAGGCTGTTGCTGCTGGCTGCATGCAAACCAACATACGAGCCACAGCCCGGCTGGTCAGGAACCGACTTTAGGTGCTTGTCCAGTGCCAGCTTGAAGACTGCCAGGGGTCTGTTGGTAATCCCCCTTATGTATGCTGGGAGGCAGTTGAACAGTCTCAGGCCCCTGACACTTATTGTATGGTCTCTTAACGTGCTAGTGACACCCCTGCTTTTCATTGGGGGGATGTTGCATCGTCTGCCAAGTCTTTTGCTTTCGTAGTGAGTGATTTTCGTGTGCAAGTTCGGTACTAGTCCCTCTAGGATTTTCCAGGTGTATATAATCATGTATCTCTCCCGCCTGCGTTCCAGGGAATACAGGTTCAGGAACCTCAAGCGCTCCCAGTAATTGAGGTGTTTTATCTCCGTTATGCGCACCGTGAAGGTTCTCTGTACATTTTCTAGGTCAGCAATTTCACCTGCCTTGAAAGGTGCTGTTAGTGTGCAGCAATATTCCAGGCTAGATAGAACAAGTGACCTGAAGAGTGTCATCATGGGCTTGGCCTCCCTAGTTTTGAAGGTTCTCATTATCCATCCTGTCATTTTTCTAGCAGATGCGATTGATACAATGTTATGGTCCTTGAAGGTGAGATCCTCCGACATGATCACTCCCAGGTCTTTGACGTTGGTTTTTTCGCTCTATTTTGTGGCCAGAATTTGTTTTGTACTCTGATGAAGATTTAATTTCCTCGTGTTTACCATATCTGAGTATTTTCTGAATATTTTCTGCTTAATAAGCAGAGTGATTTTTTTATACCATTAATCTGCTAAAAATCAATCCGAACATAACGAATATATATAATATATATATATATATATATATAAAATATATATATATATATATATATATATTATATATATATTACCTGGAGTTTACCTGGAGAGAGTTCCGGGGGTCAACGCCCCCGCGTTGTGAGGCTGGAGGTGTTGTCCTGGTAGACAGTAACTATGCATGGAGGAATGCATATTAGTGGCCTCGAGGGAGACGGGAGCTGTAGTGGGAAAACAAGTGTAGTGAAGGACAAGATAAAACCAATATTACAAACTAGTAATACCACAGGAGATAGCAAACAAGGGGACTTCACTAGTAATAGTGAGGATATATTACCAGAAACAACTGGTGAGAGCTCCATTGTTAGTACTAGTGAGGATAGGAATGAGACAGAAAAACATGCACCCACAGGGAATACAGTCACAAAAATCCAAGGCAAACGGAAACCAAGCCTGTGCAAATATTATGCACTTGGTATCTGCAGACATGGGATATCTGGAAAAACAGATGGGACGAGCAACTATGACCACCCTACAAAATGCCGCGCCCATATGACAACAGGAAAATGCAAACTCCCTTCCTGTAAGCATTTTCACCCTGAAATGTGTCCCTGTTCAGTACAGGAAAGACTGAAATTGCCAGGCACACCATCTAAAGGGTACAAAAAGATACAAAACATCCAGACCATGGGAAAACCTGGGTAGCCACAGCCACTCAAGAGGAAGAGGTTTTTTAGTGCCAGGAAGGAAAAAAAAAAAAAAACTGGCAGGAAATGGCAGAAATCGTACACCAACTCCAGTCATTTCTGGAGTGGAATCACAGTCGATGGCCTCCACTCCAAATCAACAGATACATATATTAGTGCCGGAAAAAAAGTCCCTTCCCCCCCAGTACCACCAATACCACCAATCCGATGACATTCTTCTTTGCAAATATACAGGGTCAAAAGCCAGCAATGAACAACAAAATACCTTTCATCCGGGAGGCCTGGTCACAGACCGGGTCGCGGAGGCGTTGACCCCCGGAACTCTCTCCAGGTAAACTGCTTGCAGAGGCAAATGCAATGTTCGCGGCTTTCACAGAGACCCACATAAAGGATCACATGGACAACAAAATATGGATCCCAGGTTACAACCTACACAGATGCGACAGAGTGAACAGGCAAAAGGAAGGAGGGGTTGGCCTGTATATCGCCGAGTCACTTAGTTGCACAGATCTGCTTAATGCATCAAATGATGTAGTTGAAGTTTTAGCAGTAAAGATCGAGAACCAAAATCTAGTCATTGTGGTAGTCTACAAGCCTCCGGATGCAACGTCCCAACAATTCCAGGAACAACTGTTGAAAATTGACCACTGTCTGGAAAATCTTCCAGCTCCTGCCCCAACATCTTCCTTCTGGAGGATTTCAACTTAAGGCACCTAAAATGGAGGAATATAGCAAATAATGTTGTTGCAGTGATAACACCAGGAGGCGGCTTCGACGAGAACTCACCCACACACGAGCTTTTAATCTCTGCACAAAGTTCAACTTAAACCAGCAAATAATAGAGCCTACTAGACTGGAGAATACACTGGACCTCATCTTCACTAACAATGATGATTTGATACGAAATGTCACCATATCAAAAACAATATACTGGAATCACAACATAATCGAGGTTCAGACATGTATGCGCGGAGCCCCAGACCGACAAAATGGGATCAGTCACGGGGGAG